CGAAGAAACTCCCAGAAACTCAACGAAGTCAGAAGAGGAATGAGCAGACAGTTAGGAGCTGGATTCGAAACACTCTGATGTGCTCACGTGCCGTCTATCGGTCCCACTGGGGCCATTCTCTCAGTATCCCAGGGTTTCCTATGTACCACTGTGCATGGCACAGACTACATGTAATCACGACTTTTCCACGCACTGGGAAACAAAGATACCGATGCGATTTGCTTCACTGCAACACCGGCTTTAGCCAGTGGTCTGGGCCTGAACCCGCAACGTCGCCGAGGTCTGCCTGCAGTGGGAACACTACTGGCTGGACATGCTCCCTCCAGGGTGGTTTCCAGAAATTCAAACTCCAAGAACGACTCCCTTCACCAAGGTGGGCACATAAACTGCATGTGTGTTTCCGATCTAGATGGCATTTTCACAAGCAGTCTACACCCGACTGGGGGAATTCAGTGGATTTCTCCGATACTCCGACAGAGCACCTCCTCCACGCTCCTCCCCCACTCCCGGTTTAGTATTCTGAACCCCTCACAGTTTGCCCAAGGAGCCAGGCATCAGGAGGGGTGAAAACATGGCCCAATGCCTTGCAGCACCTGATGCTACGTGGCAGGGCCGCAGGCGGGTAACTGTGGTCCTAGGTGAGAGCCTCACGAGCTGCAGGGTTTGCGCAGCCATTTCACAGGTGTGGGTGATGAGGTGACGGAGGGGCGTGGCTGCGGGGATAAAGAGGTGACAGATGGTCTCATGGAGTCTGATGAGAGCCCAATACTATGGCCCTGGAATACATTCTATGCCTGGAATAAAACGCACCCCCAGGGCCGGGCTCTCAGCCCAATAGTTAACAAGATGTACACGCAGACCACTCACCCCAGGATGACGCACCCACACACTCTATGGGAATACATCCCTCAGAGCAATCGACCACAGGGCACCAGAGGACCAACATTCAAACTGAGGAAATGCAGGACAAACAGGAGCATAAATATGAGGGGCACAGGGGGAGGGTTGCAGGGTAGGGTGGGGAGGAGACCAGGTTAGGGTTGGACACGGTAAATGGGGAGTGAACTAAATGCACACGTAACGCTGAATGTGAAACAAACTCTTAAAAAAAAAGGTGACAGAAAGGACGTGGCTGCAGGGATAAAGAGGTGATGGAAGGGACGTGGATGAGTGGATAAGTGATGGAAGAGATGAGGCTGAGTGGAGGAAGAGGTGACGGAGGGGCGTGGCCGAGCGGATGAAGAGGTGACGGAGGGGCGTGGCCGTGGGGACGAATAGGTGACGGAGGGGCGTGCCCATGGGGAGGAAGAGGTGACGGAGGGGCGTGGCCGTGGGGAGGAAGAGGTGACGGAGGGGCGTGGCCGTGGGGACGAAGAGGTGACGGAGGGGCGTGGCCGTGGGGACGAAGAGGTGACGGAGGGGCGTGGCCGTGGGGACGAAGAGGTGATGGAGGGGCGTGGCCCTGAGGATGAAGAGGTGACGGAGGGGCGTGGCCGTGGGGATGAAGAGGTGACGAGAAGGGAAGTAGCTGAGATCTCCAAAGCTCAGGGCAGAGTGGAGCCATCACCCGAGACAATCCTCAACTCCCAGCCGCTTCCACTGTAGGGCGCTCCTTAGAAGTGAGCATGGTGAGACCTCATCTCCCCTGCTTTGGTCATGTCAGGAGGGACCAGTCCCTGGAGACGGACATCGTGCTTGGTAAAGTGGAGGGCAGGAAGAAGGGGAAGGCCCGCAGCCTGGTGGACTGACAGCGGCCGCGGTGACGGGCTCCGGTACAGCAGGGACTGTGAGGCTGGGGCAGGAGCGGGCAGGGCTTCCTCCTGTTTCACTCTGTCCTGCACACTGTGAGTCGGGACGTGATGGCGTCTGACAACGACCACAATATTTCAGGTCTAAATGTTTAAAAGACTTTGGATTCACAGCTTTGTTTCAAACTTGAGTTTAAACACTGAACACATTCCTTGTTGTTGTCAGGTGCCGTCAAAACACTCGACATACTAGAGCCTGAACTAGCACAAACAAATGGATGACTTCCTACCAGCCAACTAGAAACTGAACATAACAGCTGTGTTCCTCTCAGAGCCTTTCATGGCTGTACCACCGAAAGCCGGCAATCCCACCTCAGGTTTGTGGATGTACCCTAACAACCACAACCCCTGCCATTTATGAGGAAGGCGGAAACAGCAGGCTGAAGGGGCCCTCACAGAAAACTACAAAAACCTTCACAAGCTCACAGGTTTTCAAATAGTATAGCCAGCCTCTCTCTCTACAGGCCCTACATTTCAGGTTTCCTGTTCTCAATTTTGTATTCTTTGAAGCCTAACTCTTTCCTGCAATTAGTTTCAGCTGAGAACCGTCGCCTATACTAAGATGATCCTGAGGAAAGAGGCACCGAGCCTGGGGACAACCAAGATAAAGAAGAAACAAAGTTACCCCTGGCAGCTGGCGGCCCAAGGCCCGAGGCCACCACTGCCATAGTCTCCCCCTCGTGGAGCTGACCTCTGAGGCAGGCGTGGGCAACCGAGGGACGCTTGTCCTGACCAAGGACGGTTTCTATCGCTGAGCAGAAGAACAGAGAAGTCACTGTTGTTACGTGCCGTCGAGTCGGCCTGACTCATAGCGACCCCTCCTCGGGTTTCTGAGGCAGTATCACTATGGGAGTCGACTGCCCAACAGTAACTCATCCCGATAACAAGAAGGAAACATCCGCATTCCCCAAACCCTCCAACCCCTCAGCCCGGGTCCCTTTAAAAGCCCTAACTGCTCCCCAGATCGGGGAGACAGACGTTTTGAAAAGCGACTCTCACTGGCTCCTGGGGTCTGGATCCTCAATCAACCTTTGGCGTCCCCTCTTCAACCTGCTGTGATCACTGGCTCTTTGTGAGACGGGGCGAGGACCTTGTTTGCCTACAATGTGCACAGTCCGACTCTCACGCTGACAAAGGAGCACGCTTCAGGAAGAGGAGCCGCAGTGAGGTTGGTAGCTCTGTCTTATCCGTTTGACTCCCTGAAAATCGTGGTGACCATACACTTTACACGCTGAGCGTCAGAGCTGGAAAGTCAGCGCCGGGATCCCGGCATCACGGGCTGAGCTTCGGGAGCGGGCCCGTCCTCGTCATCTTCTTCACCTGCCCTTTCTTGGCACTCACTGTCTTCTGTGGAACCGAGTGAGACCTCCCCCTGCAATAAAGGAAGTGTGCGCCGTGATTTTTAGCCGCCATTTTGCACAACAAAACCATGACATGCCCCGGGAAGAACAGCACACCCACCCTTTCCCCTGCTCACACCCCTTCACCCGGAAACTGGTCCGTGCAGTTTACAGGCCGGTCGGGGCAGCGATACGTGTGTCCCACACGCCAGCACAGCGGAAGACGCAGCCACAGCTGGTCACCTTGAAGGCCGGGGAGCCGCCGTAGAGGCGCCTGAGAATGGAGGGCTCTGAGTAAAGGACGGGTGGGCTACATCCCTGGGTGCCCATCGCCCTTGGGAATTTGAATTAAAGCTAAGAGAAAACACACACACACACACATACACACAGGTAGACAGCAAAATCTGCAAAAGCTGGAACCTGCGTCAGGTAGAAACCTGTCAGAAGAGGGAAACCCAAATAGCTTCCACTGAAAGCAGCAACAGAAAGTGGTCGGACTGCACCCTGTGAAAGGCGGAAAACGTGCGAGACCTGGAAAAACAACACAGTCCTATTTAGTTCCTGCTCTCGGGGCCTCACAGCGCGGGTGTATCCGTCCACGTTCGGCTCTCGGGGGCCTCACGGTGCAGGCAGGTACGGGCGTATCCATGTACTTCCGGATCTTGGGGGCCTCACGGTGCGGGTGTATCTGTCCACTTCCAGCTCTCGGGGGCCTCACCGCACAGGCACGTCTTGTTTTCTCAGGCTTTACAGACAGTGTGTTTTTCACAAATTGAACGTTTGTGGCAGCCCTCTGTGGAGCAGGTCCACTGATGGCATTTTTCCAACATCGTGAGTCATCACGTGTCCACTCTGTGTCTGTGTCCCATTTTGATTATTCTCACCATATTTCAAACTCTTTCCTCATGCTATTGTACACTTCATGGACTATGTTGTTGTTGTTGTTGTTAGGTGCCATGGAGTTGGCTCCCACTCACAGTGACCCTACATGAAACAGGATGAAACAGTGCCCAGTCTCATGCCAGCCTCACAGTCCCTGCTATACCTGAGCCCATCGGTGCAGCCACTGTGTCAATCCATCTGGTCAAGGGCCTTCCCCTTTTCTGTTGACCCTACATCCCTCTCCAGAGAATGGTCCCTTCTGACAACACGACCAAAGTAGGTGAGACGAAGTCTGGCCATTCTCACTTCCAAGAAGCATCCCAGCTGCATTTCCTCCAGGACAGATCTGTTAGTTCTTTTAGCAGTCCACGGTACTTTCAGCATTCTTCACCAACACCCCAACTCAAAAGCATCAACTCTTCTTTGATCTTCCTTGTTCATTGTCCAGCTCTCACATGCATATGAGACAACTGAAAATACATGGCTTGGGTCAGGCATAACTTAAGTCTTAAAGGAGACGTCTTTGCTCTTCAGCACTTGACAAAGGTCTTTTGCAGCACATTTGCCCAGTGCAATACATTGTTTGATTTCTTGACTACTACATCCGTGGGTGTTGATTGTGGAACCAAGTAATATGAAGTCTTGCACAACTCCAATCCTTTCTCCCATGATCACGATGCTGCTCACTGGTCCAGTTCTGAGGATTTTTGCTTCCTTCATGTTCAGGTGCAATCCGTACTGCAGACTATAGTTTTTGATCTTCATCAGTAAGTGTTTCAAGTCATATTCACTTTCAGCAAGCAAAGCTGTGTTGTCTGCATATCACTGGTTGTTAATGAATCTTCAATCCTGATGCCACATTCTTCTTCATAGAGTCCACCTTCTCGGATTATCTGCTCAGCATACCGATTCAGTAAGTATGGTGAAAGGATACAACATGACACACTCTCTTCCTGGTATTAAACCACACAGTGGCCCCCAGTTCTGTTTGAACAACAGCCTCCTGGTCTATGTACTAGCTCCTCATGAGTACAAGGAAGTGTTCTGGCATTCCCATTCTTCCCGATGCTATCCACAATTTGTTATGATCCAAACAGTTGAACGCTTCTGCACAGTCAGTAAAACACAAGTAAACACCTCTCTGGGATTCTCTGCTTTCAGCGAAACATTGCCCAGCCCTGCACGGTACAATCATTACCTTGCTTGAGCACACTGTTGCAGCCACTGTGTCAATCCACTTCCTTGAAGGTCTTCCCCTTTTCACTCTACTTTACCAAGCATGATGAGATTAAAAAAAATGCACTGTGGTTGAGTTGTATCCAACGCATAGCAACCCCTCCTTGGGTTTCCCAGGCAGTATCACTACGGAAGTAGATTGCCCAACCTTCCTTCCGAGGAGAGGCTGGTGTGTTTGAACCGCCAGCCTTCTGGTTAGCAGTCAAGTGCCTTAGGGACCACGCCACCACCAGAGCTCCGATGATGAGCCTGGAAGTGGTGTAATCACCTCCATGGTGGACTGTGCCGTGAGCAGATAATTAGCTGAGGAGCTGCTGTCTTAGGGGTGTGGCCTGCTTGCAGAGTATGTGGAAAGGATCCTGCATCTGGCTTGCCATCAGCTCCAGTTCATGGACTTGAACCAGTGGCCTGTCAATCCTGGGATCGTTACCTTCGCAGACTGTGAACCAACAAGGACTTGTCAGCCTCAGCAGCCAACAGCCCGCTATACTGCCTGCCAATCGCAAGTCCGTCAGCCCCTATACCTGCATGAGTTAAAGCAGCCTCCAGCTTGTTCCAGTTGGCCTGGTACAAGAGTCAGAGCTGAAGCCCAAGGTCGAGGGGCCCCTACTCAGCCCCGAGAGCCAGCACTCTGAACTCCGATGTCTAGCCTCCTAAACTGTAGGAGAATAAATTTCCCCATATGGAATACATACCACATATGATATTTGTTACTGCAGCCCTAGAGAAACAGAGACAGTAAATCATTGTAACTTAATGCATTCATGACTGTTTAGGGAAGAATACACTTTTTTTTTTCTTTCATTTTTGTCATCATTATTTAATTTTTAAATACCCTTTTATTGTGTTTTTGGTGCAGCTCTACACAGCAGCTTGGGTGCTTGGGTTACCACGTGCCACTTTAACAGATATATCCCAAATGGATGCTTAAACAGGAGTTTATTCTCTCACAGTTTGGAGGCTAGAAGTCTGAGTTCACAGTGCCAGGCTCCAGGGGCTGGCTGAAAGCCCCTCGACCTTGGGCTTCGGCTCTGCCTCCTGCCCCCGGCCACTGAAGCTGGAGGTGTCTTTTCACTCAGGCAGCTGCCGGCTGCTGAGGCTGACAAGCCCGAGGTCGAGAAATAAAATGGCACAGTCCCAATGTTACCAAACCACATGGCAGGCCATTAATTCAAGTCCATTGAAAGTCCCAAGATCGGCAGAGCATGGCAGGCTGCTGAACAATGACATGGTTACGTGCAGGGTTGAAGCGTACCATAAGCTAGAGACCATTCCCAAAGCTGTTTCTTATACACGGGAAGCAGACCACATCCCTAAAGCAGCTACTTAGCTGCTTGTGGTAGGTCCCATCATGGAGCCGACTGCTAGTCTCATCACGGGGAATAACTACCACCAGCTGCCCAGCCACTCACCCAGGCCCAGCCAAGTAGACACACAAACTGAACCACCACATTGGATTTCCATTCAGCAACTTCCACACAAGTTGTCCGGTGAGGTCACACTCTTTGCACTGCGTGAATGTTCTCATTGTTTCTGTTCTGGTTGCTCTGTTTCCAGGAATCTAGTTTCCCTGCCCTTGCCTTGTCTTTGTTCTGAAGTCACTGTAATTTTGCACCATTTGGGATCATGTAGGTGATTTCTTTTTAAAGGAGCCCAGTGCTTACGGCTGACATTCGTTATTTCTTTTTTAGCCAATCTGTTATGAGCTACAAGGGGCCCTCAGGGGTGAGCTGCGACTCAAGGTTTTCACAGTGTCTCTGGGTGACAGTCTCCGGGAGTCCTCCAGTGTCAGCCAGTCCAGTAAGTCTGTTTCCTTTAGGTTTTGTCCCACAGGAAAGAACACCCTTATACTCGTCCAGTTAACCAGCCCAGTGTCGCTGCTCCATAAAGCTCAACGAAAGGAACTTGCCACGTGGCAGACACGCCGAGTAACGCTTGCTCTGCCCTGTATTCGAAAAGCTTCCAGTTAATTCATATTTTCTTTAATTTTCACAGTGTTAACTTTATCAATGTGTATCTTCACGTTGGACATCCATCCTACAGACATAAGGTTACACACGACAAGGATTGCCTCTGTATTCTTCTGTACTTAGTCCAGGACCAGAAAAATTTATGTGCACAACCAACCAACCTAAGAAACTCATAAAATACTACCGTTTTTCTGGGCCCATACTAAATTGTTCTGTTTACGCAGAAAGACATGGTGCCAACTACACTGTCCGCATTTATTTCAGTGGCTGCTGAAATCAACACACATTTCTTCACTGAGAGGTTAAGGCCAATGACTTACCTGCACTTTTACTGCTCTTAGTGATGTCATTTTAATCCCTCTCTGGGGAGGGAACTGTTTTGGCTTAAAGAGTAAGAGCTTACCATGTTTGAGAACCACAAACGTTTCTGGGTTCTAGGAAAACAATAAAGTCACTGAATGACAACAGACCAGTCCTCCAAGTTGGTTTATGCTGTGGCTACAGCGCTGACACGTCCAGCCGCCCAGACACAACAAACAGCGGCCTCCTCAGGGCTGCGCCTACAAACAGAACTCCCGGAAAGGAGACACAGCGGCACTTACGTTTTCATCACATTCTCCTTCACTCTGGGCAGTTGCTCCATCTGCCTTCTAGAGCCCGGATGGGAGCCAGTTACCTGAAAAACAGCAGTGTCAGTCTGTGTCTCACACCATGACAGGTGCGGGGACGATTCGGAAGGGCCAGTTCAGTAGACACTTCATAGCCAGGCCCCCAGCAGCCCGTGCAGAAAGCAGGAGGGGGAGTGGGGGACCCAGGCTCTAACCACACCCCCAGGAAACGGTACAGAGAGGTGGAGGGGGAGTGGGGCTCTAACCAGGCCCCCAGGAGCCTGTACAGAGAGATGGAGGGGAAGTGGGGGACCCAGCCTCTCCAGTATGGTCAGGCTTCTCCAGATTCTGGAACACTCTCTCTTAAGCCCCACAATCCCTACCATTGTGTAAGTAAGTATAAAGGAAACTGTGAAACAAACCCCCTGTGGGGTACAGACCACAGAGACTCTGAAACAAACCCCCTGTGGGGTACAGACCACAGAGACCCTGAAACAAACCCCCGGGGGGTATGACCACAGAGACCGTGAAACAAACCCCCGGGGGGTACGGACCACAGAGACCCTGAAACAAACCCCCGGGGGGTACGGACCACAGAGACCCTGAAACAAACCCCCGGGGG